ACTAATACTAATACTAATACTAATAGGGACTTTTCCCGTCCTTTCTGCCCTTGCCTGTCGCTGAGGCAGCAACCCAGGCCGCTCTGCGCGCTTCACGGACTCGATCACCAGATCCTCTAGGGTAGTTCTCTAAATTAGGGTCCCTTTTGGGGTCCTTTTTGTAAGGGTGCCGTACTTATTGGGGACCTAAAAAAGGGACCCTAATTTAGAGAACTACCCTCTAAGATCGCAGAACATCAAGAGACGCATCGCCGATGGCTCGCTCCGAACTCCTAAACCCTAAACCCCTAAACCCTAAACCCCTAAACCCTAAACCCCTAAACCCTAAACCCTAAACCCTAAACCCTAAACCCCTAAACCCTAAACCCTAAACTCCTGCTCCGAGGGCTCATCAGCCTGGCGGCACTCCGAGCTCTCGGCACTCAGTGTCTCCACATTTAGCTACCTATAGTCTCCATTGTAGTTCCTTTTTAGGGGATACCTTATAGAATCCTTAACATAGAATTGGTTAAACCAAAAAAGGAACTATAATGGAGACTATAGGTACAACACAGACCTTGCTAGGATTGGCTTCCTCGCTTTCAGCCGCCGCCTTCGAGGTTGATCTGGCCTAGGGTACCGGGTCTACGCGGGAGAACGTGGGAGATCTCCCTAAACCCTAAACCCCTAAACCCTAAACCCCTAAACCCTAAACCCTAAACCCTAAACCCTAAACCCCTAAACCCTAAACCCTAAACCCTAAATGCCAGGACCGGGGCCGCCGTTTCTCCGAAAGCTCCGTTACCGCAGGCTGGCCCCAGTGTGCCAAGAAGAGACCTTGGAGCCGTGCTGCGGAACATCATTGATTATTATTACTATTATTACTATTATTACTATTATTACTATTATTACTATTATTACTATTATTACTATTATTACTACTATTACTATTACTATTATTGTTATTGTTATTATCATCGATCATCATCATCATCATCATCATCATCATCATGACATTGCAATGATCATGACCATCAACACGGGTGTCATGGCGACGACGCAGCAGGCTGCTGCAGCTCCAAGGGGCTAAGGCCTGAGCTCTCGGAAGGCCGCCACTGCGCTGGAGATTTCACTGCTCGGAAGTTCCTGCAGAGACTGTCGCCTTCACAAGCAAGGGAGCCAGCGTTGCCCCACCTTCTCAGAGAGAGGGGCAGGAGGAGTTGCGAGCTCAGCTGAAGATGCCTCCCAGCTGTGGATAAGTTATATACTTTCCCTCTACACACATGCCGTCACACCAGGAAACTCGTGGCTCTGCTTTGTGGCTGCGCCTTTGCGCGCCGGCGCAGCTCGTGGAGCGCGCGATCGCCTGGAGCTGCGAGTGCTGAAGGAGGCAGCCATCGTGGGCCCTGCGGCCCTGCATGGGCCCCGGCCGCTGTCGTCTGCTGCAGGCGGTGCGGCCGTCTCTGCCGCAACCTCACTAGCGGCCACCACCAACGCAAGAACTCACAGCAAATCCTCGGCTTCCCAGCCTGCTGAAGGAGCGCTGCCACGCCTGAAGCTGTCACGGGTGTCACGCCAATCATCCCAAACAAATTAGAAACATCTACCCGATGAGCCGAAGCATTGGCACAACCAGTATTTCGCAGCGCGGCCCGTTTCGTGAAGCTAAGCGGATGGCTGCAAAGCTCATCGTTTCTCTGCATGTCTTCCTGAACCACAAGTTGGTCTGATCATGCACACCACAGACAGTCCCATTGGACCGATTTACTGCCTTTACCTGCCTTCAAAGCACGTTGAAGGAGCCTATTCCTCAGACTTTGCGCACCTCCGCCTCTGCTGCCTCTGCCGCTTCTTCCTCACTGAGGGGCTCCAGCTCAGCATCGCTCACCTCCAGATGAGCTTTGGCCTGCAACCAGGACGCGGAGAGATTTAGCACCAGGCTCACTCGACAATGCTGACCGATCTGCCAAGTTCCTCTATGCACGCAAGCACGCTTGCCGGCAACAGCCAGACTTTTCAGCGCGGAAGCTCTCCGTTCTCTTCTTTGTAGCTTAAAAGCCACGGTTCACAGTTGAACGTGAGTCTTCTGGCTACGTCTCTCCGCCGATCCGATCCCGGCATGGCTATGTACAAGCTCGGTGCTCAGGAGACCCCAGCCGTATTTGAGAGACGAAGTCCTCGTCGTGGGGAGCCGTGGATCCGCTCAGTTCATAGGAGCGCGGCGGGGATGACGTAGCAGTTCTGCGAGAACGGAGTCAAGCCGCACTTAGCTGGCTCAGCTCTTCGATAAGTAGAAGTCGCTTCCAAGAGCGACCCAGCCCTGACCAAGCGTTCTGCGTGCACGGTTGGAGGTTCGCCACTCCTGCACTTGGTCAAAACGCAAGCCTGTCTTTGAATTGACGTCTGAATCTTTCGATCACTGCACCTCTTCGAAGAGGTCGCGCTCATGTGCTCCAGCATCGCTCATCAGCTGCAGTACCTTTACGTGATTTCTGGCAGAACCGGATCTATCGGCTCTGCATCAGGTCTCTGGCAGAGATATGCAGAGATGCCAGACTGACCCTTTGCACTCGGTTCTGGCACGGGCTTAACATCAGCTTCGGGGTCTCTTGGCATCAGAGCATGGCTTCCTAGCCACCCCTCCCTCACGACCGACGGGAACCTGCCCATGTCCCTGACCTTTCGCGAGCGCCCACGCGTCCTGGAAGACGTGCGAAGCTGCAGGGGTTCTTGCAAAGAGCTGTCGGTCCTCTCCAAAGCGGTTGCAGCGCGCAGGTTCGGCGGCCGCGGCGAGCAGCAGCCCCACTACCTCCAGCGGTTCACCCTTGCCCTGCTCCCCTGTGTCTTCTGACGTCTCGTGACAGAGTAGCTGGCGCAACCTCATTGTGGCCCCAGCGCGCAGCTGACATCAGGGGGGAATACCTGCCAGCACCTGGAGAACGGCAATGGTGACACTGACCTCTCTTCTCTTGCAGCAAATCAGCAACTCCTCTCCCTGCCGCCATGGCACCGGCGACCCCTTCCGGGTCTGCAGCAGCTCGCAGCAGAAGCTTTGCACACTCAGCCCGGCCGTTCCAGGCAGCGCGGAAGAGCGGGTACCAGCCATTGCTCTCAACCTCGCAATCTGCGAGCTCGGTAGCATCAGGGTAGTGTCCCGGTGGTATTTCCGGACTTCAACTCTTGTCGAATCACTTGTCGAACCAACAGCTGCCAGGCCTTGTCAAGTGCCCAGCTGCGAGCATCACAGAGCGGGCTGAGCAGCAACTGAAGTACCTGGAGCTTGCCGAATGCTTAGTTGGAACACAAGGCGAAGTAAATGGCACTGGCCTCGGCAAGGCCGTAATCCGCAGCCCAGGTCACGGCAGTTTGGCCCAGATCATTGGCTGCCAGGCTTTCTGGAAAGCCGAGGAGAAGTTTCTCCCCTGCAGCTTCAAGCTGCAGTTCTCAGCCAGCAGTGAGCCTTTTCGAGCCAAGCAGCCCACCAGCTGAGCCAAGTCAGCCTTTTCCAGGCGCCCCAGGCTCTGGTGGATCACCTCAAAACGGGTTTAGGGCTTAGGGTTTAGGGTTATCTCAAAGCTTCAACGGGCCGCCTGTGGCCTGTGGCTACCCTTGCTTTTGCCACTTGGCCTCCGCGAGTGCTGGTCCGGAAGCTGTGTCCACCTGTGCTGGAGGTGGACTCAAGTAGGAGATCTTGCCAGCTAACGGCGGCTAAGAGTACAGTAGTCTGCATTGAATAGGGGACCCTAATATAGTACCCTAAATAGTAGGTCCCTTATTATAAGGACCCCCAAAATAGGTACCCCTATTTTCGGAAACTCCCATTTCAGACTCTGCACCTGCCACAAGCAGCGAAGCCTGGGCAGCGTGGCCACCAAAGTGGCTGCAGCCTTGAGAGTTCAACGATCAAGGCTTGCACTGCACGATCAGCTATATAGTGTAGTATAGTATAGCGTATAGTATATAGTATATAGTATAGTATATCAAAGTATATAATACGGTATAATAGCAATGATCCGAGCAACGATGGATGCAGTTGCACGCAGCCGCCACGTCTCGAGTGGTCCCAAGAGCCGTGCGACGGCGGGAAGCAGGCTCGCGTCGTAGCAAAACACCAGGTCCGCACTCCCCAGCGCCATCGAGTCGGAAGAACTAGACTCTCTTTGCAAAAGCACGGGGCAAATGGTCGATGTATTGCTATCAAGTGAACGCAGGTGAAGCTGCAGCACACTTGAGGCACGCTTTGGGGGCTCAAGATCTTCGAAGTTGAGCTCCGGGGCTTCTCCTCCCTCTTCTAGTCCAGCATGCTATGCTCCCTCCGAAACAGCTGCAGGCTTCTCATGCTGCGGAAACAAGCTGCAAGTTTGTATCTCACTTAGGCATGGTCTTGGAACGTTGCCTGATGCCTTCATCCCTGTGACAGGCCTTTCTGGGAATCGTGTCCAAGACTTCCAGGTGGGGCAGCACCTCTGATTCTCTGGTGACTGGGATTCCTCTGGGCTCTTGGAGGATGAGCCAAAGGGTTTCCAGAAGCACCTCCAGGATTCGCTCCCTCGTCACAGCCTCCTGCTTCCGCACTGGGTTCAGACCTCGTTGCTTTCTGATTCTGGTTGACCTTCTTGCAGGGCCCCGAATCGAACTGAGATCACGGCTGATGTCCAGCTCCCGAAGTGTGGAAACCACCTGGCCAAAGCTGACGTGCGCAAGGAAAGAAGCAAAAGCGTCTCCTGACTCTTGACACAGACGGTGGAGTGCAGGGGTGGTCGAGCGCTTCTTCGAAAGGGTTTCCGTTCTGTGAAAGCCACCATTGGGTCACGCATGCTCGATGTCCTTCCAGAATCGCCACCCACTCTCCAAGCACAAGCTCAAATTAACATCAGCTCAAAGGCACCACCTGAAGCAATCAAACAAAATTCTGAAGGCTTCCATGCCATGAGCACTGCGCTTCGCTGTGCTGCATCTGCTCGCACAAACGTATGGCATTCGCGAGCTGCCCCTTGATGCTTCTGCGTCATGTTGATGCTTGTTGCTTCTAGCATTGTAGAAAATGCACACTGACCAGGTCTTACATGCCAAAGAAGCTCTGCAAGCGGGACCTCTAAGGATCTGATCTCCTCGAAGTCATCCACCAAGTTGCCCTCCATATCCAAGATTTGCAGCGCCTGCGCTCATCAGCCCGACGGGGATCTGGCGGTGTACGCGCAACCCCGGGCCTCATGGGAAAGTAGAGGACTCAAGTCGCTCACGTCGTTGAAGGACACGTAGAGCTCCTACTCAGCACGAGGGTACAAGCAAAGGGCCTGCAAGACCGCTTTTGCGCCTCCAGAACGGGGAGTACGGTGATGCCTCCGAGGTCCTAGCACAAACAGAAGGATGCCGTCCATGACTGTGACACTATACTTCTCAGAAAGCATCTAGGGATTCAAGCGATCGGGAGGGAGGGTTATGCACCATCAACTTTGCATGTTCGGCACCAAAGGCCACTTTGCATGGGCAGGCACCGGCAAGAAAGCGACAGCACCCTGCTCAACCCTGAAATGCAAGCTTTGACCTGCAAGGAACAGCGGCACAGCCACAGAACCTGCTCGCAGGCGGGAACACACTCTTAAAGTATAGACCCACACACTTTGCCTTTAGGTTCAGGAGGCTTGTTCCCAGATCCCGTATGGTGCCTCAGCTCCGCTCGACTGAACCACAGTTCGCTTGGGATGAAAGGCCTGCCTTCCAGGTACGACCTTCAAACGAAAGCGCTGAGCTCGGATCAAATGTGCGACCGACTCAGGCGCAACCTTCAGCATCGACAATTTCAGCTGCGAGACCAGGAGGGATGTCTGGGTTCTGCACTGCTGCAGTCTCGGCAGCAGCTCGCCGAGGCACTCCACCTCAGCGTAAGCGCAGTGAGCCGAAACTGAGAGCCTGAGACCGGAGATGGGAGCCTCATGCCCCTCCCCCGGCTTAAGCATGCCACGCGCTCGCCCACGCCGACGGCATCCACCTATAGGGAGTCTTAAGACTGGACAGTACGGTCCTCCCTTTACATCTCGGGAAAAAAATGCTTGGGCCTGGAGATCCAGGAAAGTCACCTCGTTCAGGTCTTGCACGCCGGTGTATTCTTGCAGGAACTCCTGCGGTTGATGGACAAAATCCTGCATGACCCTATATACCTAAACTATGGGATTTATGGTACTATACTATATTTGGGTCATGCAGAATTTTGTCCATCAACAGTGTCAAATCTTCTCCAAAGCTATCACAGGCCTCTCTCGGTCACATGAGCCGGCCTCCGACAGGCCGTTTTCGATCTCTTCGAAAAGGGTCGTGCCTGAGTCTCCGGCTCAAGCCCGACATGTCCGGGTTTAGGGTTCAGGGTTTAGGGTTTAGGGTTTAGGGTTTAGGGCTTAGGGTTTAGGGCTTAGGGTCTGTGCTGAGGCCACGACTGAGCAGGACATCCTGCCGCAGCGGCAGTACCGGCAAGTTCGGCGGCCGCACTGACATCCCCAACCTTCAGGCCGCTGCTTCTGGGACGAGGGTTGCTCTCTTGGGGGCTCCTTGTTATAATTTTAGTATAATGGACCCCAAAAACCCTATTCTAATTATTAAGGCCCCTACATTAGGGTTTCAGGTTTGGAATGGTTTGAATGTCTAAGACCATGGCGAGGGAGTGCGCCAGGCTCAACCAGTCGGCAGCGTTTTCGCCTCAGGAGCCCGGGTGGGCAACAGTCTCCGACGGCTTTCACAATGCGCTTTCTTCTGGCATGTCCCATCAGCTTAGACTGGGGCCACCATGCTCTGAGAAAGAAGAGGCCAAGAGCCAAGACAGCGATTGGAACAGGACTGAATGCTTCCGCAAGCTGCGCAGAGTCAGGCTCCTTCTAGTTCTACTTCAAACATCGCATAAAACGCATCGAGCAAAGCCGGCCTCCAACAGCTATAGCCGCGGGTGCACCGTGCCGCCACGAATTTCACTCACTAAACGCAGCACCGGGCCTATCAAAGCTCTCCCATGGCAGCTGAGAGCCGGCATCACTCACAATGCAAGCTGCTCCATGTGGGGGCTTCCGAAAATAGGGACCCTAATATAGTACCCTTAATAGTAGGATCCTTATTCTAAGGACCCCCAAATAAGGTACCCCTAATTTTCGGAACCTCCCATGACGAAACCCTGGCCCTATAACCCCAAACTAATGGGATTCATATGAAGAACCCGAATAAGGACCCAGGGTTTCTTAATCAGGTTCCATGCACGACAGGCAAGATGCTCCCCAACATCCTGCCTCCGCGACCTCAATGCAGCAAGCGACCTGATTTTTCTCTATTACAGGATGCACCGACGAGAGCATTTCGTGGCATCCTGGGCAAGGTCACCAGCATGCATGAGGGCCTCCAAGGGGATCTCCCGCGTTGAATCCCATCCTTCTGGTCTACGTGACTCCATGCAAGCAGCGCTGTGGAAGCTGTGCAAAGAGCAGAGGCAGGATGAAGGGCAAAACAAGCGAGAGCCTCTGCCGTCTTGAAGTCCACTGTATCGAATAGCCGTCCGGAAAGGGTTCGGAGACCCGAGATGTCCACATGCAAGTCTGACTCTCCTGCGTGACGGTGAGACTCTGACACCCAGGCCATGCTCGCAGAATCTCATTGAATGTTTTGAAGATCCACAGAGAAGGCTTGCACCCAAGTTTGACCCTCCATGACGTTGTGCCGACCCCTGCGAGCCGGCCAGGTGACCTTCTTGATAATGTTCAGAAGGAGTGCTCTTCAGATGCCGGTGCATCGTAGATTGAGAGTCTACTGAAGCTACGGAATACAAGTAGTTATGATCCAGCACTGGCCGTTGTTTTTGAGCAGCTTGGAGTCCTTGAAAGCCTAGCGCAACTTGTCCCTAGCCCATTTGCCGTGGTGTCATCTGTCACACAACAGCATTGCTTGGAGGCCTTGAAAGCCTTGTGCAACTTGCACCTGTCAACAAAACCGACCAACTGCCCCACCACGCGCTTTGGGCCATTTGCCGTGGTGTCATCCTGCATACAACAGCACTGCTTGGAGTCATAGGAGTCCTTGAAAGCCTCGTGCAACTTGCCCCTGTCAACAAAACCGCCCAGCATTCCCATAGACATCATGTAGCCTTCCAGTCTATCTGGATTTTGGGCACGTCCATCGGGCAGAACGTAATCGACGGCCCTGTGGCATTCTTGTCCACGGCCAGCGGGGCGGTCGACGAGACGCCCTGGAAGCAATGATCCAGTTGAGGTCGACTGCACACTCAGAAGCATGTGTTGAGTTACCTGTCGCCAGAGCCTGCAGAGACGCGCTAAGGCGTCAGGTCCATGCGTCCTTCCTGCCTGAACTTCCAGTTGAGTCGCCTTCGCGAGCCTGGCTGCCTTTACGCTGCCGACATGTCTGCTTGTCGAGTTCGGTGGCTTCGTGAGCCATCGCATCACACTGTCCTGTCTGGGAAGCCTCATTTCCATCCACCGACGCGCATCGAAACGAGTCAGAACTGTGGTCCTCCGCACTATACGGCTGCGAAGCGGAGGACTATGACGCAGTGGCTCGCGGAACTGCTCGGCAGAGGGAACGGTGCTACTGCAGTCGAACCTTTGGACTTTTCTTCTGCGCAGCTTCATGCTCCTCAATTTGGCCCTAAAGGTCTCAGAGATCCGAAAGCTTGCACATACTATCTGCAGATGCAGAGGTTGTGGCACAGAATTATGATCTTCCCGGCTGCAATAAAATTGAGCATCGTGAAGCTAGATGAGAAGAATACAGAAGCAAGATCGTGACCACTCCCCTGACTTGCTAGCGAATTGAGCAGGATGGGAAGCTTTCATGCCAAGCGGTTGAGAAAACTATACCTGGCCTTGGCACCGCACACGGCTTCACAACCTAAGGAAGTCCGATTCGATCGACCCCAGCAAAAGGAACCTTGAGCCGTGCAACTCACCTGCTTGACATATTATCGGGCCCACCCATGGCTGCTTCAGAATCTGCCTGTCGGCAGGCCTTGCACAAACATGACACTCGAGTTGAGGTCTGTTTGGAGCCGTCTCGAAGCAGAGGCCCAAGATCATCTGCTTCGTGTTTTGCCCACACGAGCCTCCGCTTCGGGAATCTTGCCCAAAAGTGAACCACTGCAAGATTAAATGCCAACCTCCCCCACCTTAGGCAGGGTGTTGAGCCAACCGAAGCAACGTACGACGCAGCAATGCGTCTCACGGTTGATGGACAAAATTCTGCATGACCCAAATATAGTATAGTACCATAAATCCCCAAGTTTAGGTATATAGGGTCATGCAAGATTTTGCCCATCAACCGCATGTCCTCTGGGACTTAGCCATCGGACTCCGCTCCTCTCACTACCAGGCATCTTCCAGCTCCCAGGGCTCCTCACCAGGCTCCCCAAAATCCCCCATTTTTGTTGGGGAGGATGTCCGCAAAATTCGGAGTTTCCGAAACTAAGGGGTAGCTTATGTTGGGGTCCTGAAATTAAGGATCCTACTATTTAGAACACCATAAGTAGGCGCCCCTATTTGCGGAAGCCCCCAAATGTATGAAGCAGAGGAGACGAGGCGGCTCTCCAGCGTCCGATCGTCGGCAGCCGTACCTGGCCAGGTGCAAATCTAAGGTTGAAACCATGGGCCCCTAGTATGGGCCCTTAACCCTACATTAGAAGTCCTTTTTGTGGCTTATATTTAAGATTCTCTATTAGGGAATCCCAAAAAGGAACTACTATGGGGTCTATGGGCCCTAAACCCTAAACCCTAAACCCTAAACCCTAAACCCTAAACCTTAAACCCTAAACCCTAAACCTTAAACCCTAAACCCTAAACCCTAAACCCTAAAGACCAAAGCAGAGGCGCAAAAGGCAGGGCCTCTGCAGCCGCCGAGGCCCGGGCCTCCTCCCTGGGACTCCTGAGCCCAGGGCATTAGGGTACCTTATTTTGGGGATCTGATTCTGGGTGTTTAGGGTTTAA